AGTAGTAGTATGTTTCTTCTTATTAGTAGTATGATTATTCTCAGGAGTATTACGATGCGTATATTGTATTCTTCGTAGTATTACTATGATGCGTCTTATTACCATGTTTTATCCTTATGATTGTTATTATTAGTGATCGTGTTAGTATGATTCGTATGTGGCGTGTGTTTCTTCTTATTCGTGGTAGTATTATTGATCATATTGATATGAGTGCGAGTGCTATTCTTAGTGTTCGTCTTCTTCGTATGAGTAGAAGTATTATGATTAGTAGTATGCTTAGTCTTGCGTTACGTATTGATGTAAGTGGTAGTTTCAAGTTGTCCTGGTAGTATTAGTATTAGTAGAATTATTAGCGTTAGCATTAGTATTAGTATTAGTATTAACCATGTGTTATAATCATTGTTAGTAGCAGTATGAGTATCACTAGTACTGGTACCACTACTGCCATTGTTATTTTTAGTCGTCGTAATTGTCTTCGCATTCGTCTTCGTAATACTCTTCTTATTAACAATAGTATAGTATTTTTAGTAATAGTAGAAATAGTATTCGCCTTGGTATTAGCATTCGCATTCTTAGTAGCATTATTGGTGTCGAATTCTTATTAGCAATAATATTAGCATTCGTATTAGTACTATTAGTATTATGTTTCGTCGTCTGCCTCATCATCCTCCTCACGAGTGGCATCATCAGAAGCAGCATCAGCATCATCAGCATCATCAGCATCATCAGCATCATCATGAGCATCAGCATCGTCATCATCAGCATCAGAATAATCATCATATGTATCGTCACTATCATCATCGTCATCAGCATCGTCATCATCAGCATCAGCATCAGTATCAGCTTCCGCATCATCATCAGCATCATCGTCATCGTCATCATCGTCATCATCAGCAGCGTCATCATCAGCAGCAGCAGCAGCAACAGCATCAGCATCATCAGCATCATCAGCATCACCAGCATCAACAACATCAGCATCAACAACATCATCACATCCTCCTCCTCCTCCTCGTCCCCATACCCCTCCTCCCCATACCCCTTCTGCTCCTCCTCCTCCTCCTCCTCCTCCTCCTCCTCCTCCTCCTCCTCCTCCTCCTCCTCCTCCTCCTCCTCCTCCTCCTCCTCCTCCTCCCCCATCCCTCTTCGTCCTCCCCTCTTCGTCCTCC